GTGAGACCAGGTTGGTGATGTAGCTGGTGGCAGAGTTGTAGATGGCTTTTTAAATTGTTGTTATTTTGAATTTAATTTGTTGGGTGAGTGGCAGCCAATGGAGGGATTGGGAGAGAGGGATAGTAGACACTGAAGGATTGGTAAGGTGGATGAGTCTGGCAGCAGCATGCATGATGAACTAAAAGGGGGATAGCCTATTTAAAAGTAAGTCAATGAGGATGGAGTTGCAGTAGTCGAGGTGAGAGATGATCAGGGAGTTGACAAGGAGCTTTGTAGTGTCATTGGTTAGGATTCACCAATGCTAGATGCTTAAAAACCCCATAATAAAGGAAAGTGTTGTGAAAAAATATACCTCAATCAAACATCTGACTTATTGTGCTTCAATGAAAGAAGAAAATGAGCTCCTGTTAAGCATTTACTTCTTTAGTAAATCAACCCCTGTGAGTAAGTTGACTTCCTGAAATCAATGCATTCCATGAGTGGCTGATATCTTACTGCAACAGTTGTTAGGAGAAGCAGAGTAAATGCAGTAGCTACTCCACCTAATGTTCAATAAACATATTTCTTCTTTTAATACAGTGATAAAAACATGGAAGATCATGCTTGTAAAAACACGGAAGTCATACCAAAAATTACTTCTACAGTAGATGGAAACCCAGCCACTAAAACCTCACATAAACATTAACATACTCATCTAACTTCAAAAGCAATTTTAAATCTTTTCAAATTGTAGTTTTCATTAAAATAATACCTGATGATCCCACCATGAAAATCCTTCTTCGAACACTTCCTGCTATAGGGTCGCATTGCTCTGTTCCTTTCTCCCAGGTGTTTTTTTGCATTGTGACCATTTTACGTGACTTCTGAGTCTACAAGTGGGTGTTTTTAAGATACATTACACAGGGATGGTTAACTGTTATCCCTATCAGGAAACTGGCTGTGAAAAATGCCACGCAGCAATTGTGAGAGGGGCTGCAAAGAGGTTGCAGGACATCATCAGCAGTGAGATTTAATAAAGGATAAAAAAGGGGAAAACAGTGTTTTCCTAAAAAAAATTTATGATGCACATTAAAATGGTTCTAAAGGTAGAAGGGTTTTTTTTTTTCACCTTAATGCATTCTATGCATTAAGGTGAAAAACCTTCAAGGTGCAGCTCCCCTCCCTCTCCAGCCCCCACTTATACTTACCTGAGTCTGATCTCGATCCAATGATGTTCACAAGAACATCAGTGCTCCCTGGTCTCTCTCTCCTCATTGGCTCCTGCTGCTGTCAGTCTAAGCCAGTGAGCCAATGAGGAGAGAGCAGGGGAAGGTGGAGTCAAGCTGCACTTTGTGTGTGAATGAACAGTGTTCATTTACAGGAGCGTGACTTGGGAGCTTGCTATTGGAGGCACTTGGCGGGGGGGGAGCCAGGACCACCAGCGGGGGACCCAAAAACAAGAGGATCGGGGCTGCTCTGTGCAAAACCATTGCACAGAGCAGGTAAGTATGACAATTTTTTTTTATTTTTGTTTTGTTTTTTATTGTTTTTTTCTCCTCTAAGTAAATGTCATCCAGTAGGGGGCTGGAAACTACAATATTAAAATATGCTCTTACTGAAAATACACTTTACTTTCCTTTTAACATGGACAGAACCTTTCTCTCATTCTGATTTTACAGTCGTAAAGTATACAGAAAAGTTTGGAGAAGGCACAGTTTAATGAAGCGTCACCTGAGAGATCATCATCCCCTGTATGATGCCAGCGGTAAATGAGTCATTACAGCAATTAGAGAGCCCTCCTGAATAATGTGCTCTTTATTAGTCCCAGTAAACTTGTTTAACCCATCCCTGCACTGTGGCTGATAAAGCGCTCACCCGGGTAATTCTGTTTTCAGAAGGGATTACTTGGGTCACTGACAATGTGATGGATCCTCCAAAATGTTTTACATCCAGAGATAAAATGTTGTGTACATTGAATGTACTTCTGGGTCCTCTAATGTATACACTATATATCATTATAGAAAGTTCAGTCAAATATAGTAGTTTAGTAGTAAAATCACATTTACCAAGCCTTACTAATATTACAGTGTTAATAATTTTTTACTGTAAAATGAGAGAAAAAAAATGAGAAAAGTTATTTGATTTATTCATTCCTTATCTAAAATAAATCGTGTTTTTTTTGACAAAGTGGTAGCAGGTAAACAATAGTTACATCAAAGGACAGTTAGAGGAAGAGTAGAAGTACAACAGCTGTAGCACATTGGTGGCGTAATCTTCAGTGTATTTTTATCACTAGACTATTTTCATTCACAAAATCCTCTAGCAGTAGGTGTCATCTTCTTGTAGCTTGATTTCCCATTGGTTTTATTCTACATTTTAGAGTTTCTGCTTGCATGTTAGCAAATGATGGACTGCTTTATGGGTGGCCTTAGCAAGCAGCTGGAACACCCATAACAAAGACTGACCTTCTGGGCATTCAAACCTTGTCCTGTAGCTTTCACTCCCTCTGGATGTGCAGATGGTGACCAATAACCGGATTCCCTATACCCCCTCCTGGTTGTGTGACTGCACCTCTTACTCCCAGGGGTATCCAGACGCTGGCCCAACTTCTCCTGTGGCTTGACAGCCAGGTGACATCACTGACAGTTCTTGTCTCTTTCACCACATCTACTGCGATACCTGAATAACTGTGGAGGCTACACCTAGATGAACTATTTACTGTAGAATTCAGCATAGGCCCCACACAGTCCAGCAAAAGATGATCTTTCTCTAAGCACTGCTCTGAGTACCATCAGGCTGGTGATGTATCCCTGTAGGGGAGCCCCCTACAAGGGTAGGAACGTCTCCGTCCTTTAGGTGATAGTTCACCTCATAGCTACTCCTCCCATGACCCACTCCACTCACCAACCCCCTGCCACCATATTTAAGGGGATCCTGCCAGAGAGGAAGTGAACTCACCCTCCAACTGGAAGGTTTTAAAAGAGCCACACACACGCTTAAGTGGGCCACCTAGTGGGCCCAACCTTAACCTGCCTACACGCATGCCACAGCAGTTTGTGTGAACTGGAAGTTCAAGGAGAGATATCACTCCACTGCAGGATATAAAAAGACAGCGTGTGATTCATCCTATCTTCAGCCATGCAAAATATAGCATGTAACCTGCAATGTTGTTTTGACGCAACAATGTAGTCAAAGTAGTAGGCCATGTATTCACATGGTATGCCCCTATGATAGCTGTAGAGGCTAACTAGGTTAAAATTGGTTACTGGTTAAAGGAGAACGCTAGTAAAAATAAGAAAACAAAATTTTTCCATTAAAACAGAAGAAGAAGGCAACATTTTCTCCAACACTCTCCTTTAATCCAGAGCCAACTCCTGCAATACTTCTTTTGTACCACTAGATTTTCTCAGTTCTTTAGGTTGAATGAAAGCCAACATGGTTTAAGCCACTTCTTCAAATGCCAGGCTGTAATCGACCTGCCCTGAGGGCTGGCTCACACCAGCCGCTGCCTTGGGTGCAGTGGGGGTGAGATCGGTGCAGTGGTGATGCGCTGAGATTGGCACATTGCACTGTTTCCAATTTTTTTAATTGAACTTTGTTCAGATATCAAGCAAACATCTCATAAAGTTCAATTGATGGCTTTGCAGTGCGAGGCAGTGGATTGCCTCACACTGTGCAGCACTGATAAAAAGTACTGCATGCAGTCCTTTTTTGCAGCACACCACCTCAATGCAGTGGTGTTAAACAGGCACATAAGTGACAAGGCATTTTGCATTGTCCATATGGTGGGACTGTGCTCAAATAGCAGCCCAACGTAGTCTCACTGTAAGTGGTGTGAGCCAGCTCTTAGTCTGAGACTGGACAGTGAAGGAGAAGCAGCAGAATGATAGGTTAATCCACTGGTCACTCTGCTTTCTCCTCCTATCAGCATGCTCCTTGTCAGCACGCTAGTGAACTGATTGATACTGCTTGTTCCTATCCCTCTCTGAGCACAGCTCTATAGGAACTGCAAGAGGCCAATACCATTAGATTTAGGTTCTTACCATGCTTGAGTAACATGTGTATATAAATATATATATATATATATATATATATATATATATATATGGGCAGTACAGTGGCTTAGTGGTTAGCACATCTAAATGGGTCATGGGTTCGATTCCCGACCATGGCGCCTCCTGCATGGAGTTTGCATGTTCTCCCTGTGCTTGCGTGGGTTTCCTCCGGGTACTCCGGTTTCCTCCCACACGCCAAAGACATGCTGGTAGGTTAATTGGATCCTGTCTAAATTGGCCCTAATATGTGTATGTATGAATGTACGTTAGGGACCTTAGATTGTACACCCCTTGAGGGTTAGGGACTAATGTGAATGTTCAATATATATATGTGTAAAGCGCTGCGTAAATTGACAGCACTATATAAGTACCTTAAATAAATAAATAAAAAATATATATATATTGTACATACACTATATTGCCAAAAGTATTGGGATGCCTGCCTTTACACGCACATGAACCTTAATGGCATCCCAGTCTTAGTCCGTAGGGTTCAATATTGAGTTGGCCCACCCATTGCAGCTATAACAGCTTCAACTCTTCTGGGAAGGCTGTCCACAAGGTTTAGGAGGGTTTCTATGGGAATGTTTGACCGTTCTTCCAGAAGCACATTTGTGAGGTCAGGCACTGATGTCGGACGAGAAGGTCTGGCTCGCAGTCTCCACTCTAATTCATCTCAAAGGTGTTCTATCAGGTTGAGGTCAGGACTCTGTGCAGGCCAGTCAAGTTCCTCCACCCCAAACTCGCTCATCCACATCTTTATGGATCTTGCTTTGTGCAGAGGTGCGCAGTCATGTGGGCACAGGAAGGGGCCATCCCCAAACTGTTCCCACAAAGCTGGGAGCATGAAGTAGTCCAAAATGTCTTGGTATGCTGACACCTTAAGAGTTCCCTTCACTAGACCTAAGGGGCCAAAACCAACCCCTGAAAAACCACCCCACACCATAATCCCCCCTCCACCAAACTTTACACTTGGCACAATGCAGTCAGACAAGTACCGTTCTTCTGGGAACCACCAAACCCAGACATATCCATTGGATTGCGAGATAGAGAAGCGTGATTCATTACGCCAGAGAAACACATCTCCACTGCTCTAGAGTCCAGTGGCGGTGTGTTTCACACCACTGCATCTGACACTTTGCATTGCACTTGGTGATGTAAAGCTTGGATGCAGCTGCTCGGCTACTCACTGTAGTTGTGCTACTCTGAAGGCCACACGAAGTTTGGAGGTCTTTAGTTATTGACTCTGCAGACAGTTGCTGACTTCCGCGCACTGTGCACTGCACCATATGCTGACCCCGCATACTGTGGCCTACAACTTCATGGCTGGGTTACTGTCGTTCCCAAATGCATCCTCTTTGCTATAATACCACTAACAAGTAACTGTGGAATATTTAGTAGCAAGGAAATTTCATGGATGGACTTATTGCACAGGTGGCAACCTATCACATTATAATGCTTGAATTCACTGAGTTCCTGAGAGCGACCCATTCTTTCACAAATGTTTGTCTGCATGCCTAGGTGCTTGATTTTATACACCTGTAGAAATGGAGGTTGATTGGAACACCTGAATCCAGTGATTTGGAGGGGTGTCCCAATATGTTTGGCAATACAGTATATATATATATATATATATATATATATATATATATACACAAGGTGGTATCAAATAGTTTCGAGACTAGTTCTGTTTACAAGAATAGTTCCCTTGCACAGCAATACAGTGCTCCCAGCTTTCCTGCCACTTCTGGAATGTGTTGCACCTTCTGCCATTCGCGCTGGAACCCCACAATGTTGACAAAATGGTGATCTTTAAACCAGAGCTTCATGTTTGGGAAAAGGGCGAATTTTGCATGAGCCAAATCTGGCGAGTAGGGTGGATGCGGAAATGAGATCATTGCAGCCTGGGCAAAAACTTGGCAGCAACTCGGCGTATATTCAAAACGCACGTGAGGACTACCTGGAATGATCTGTATGACACACCGCGGCAATGGCAGCAATGTTGTGGATTCTCCGATGATCATCATACACAAGTTGCCGAATGGTATTGACATTTTCTGGTGGTGAGCTCATTGAAGGCCTTCCTGATCTCTTGTCATCTTCCAGTGATGTTCTTCTACTCTTGAAGCATGCGTACCACTCAAATCAGCTCGAACGACTCATTGCAGCATCGCCGTAAAATTGCCGAATCATGCCAAACGTCTCTATTGCTGATTTGTCCAGTTTCACACAGAATTTCATATTTTTTCTTTGTTCTAACTTACTGTCCATGATGAAATAGCAGACATGGTAACACACATGGTCAGAATAGCACCAGTTGCACAGGATGATGTCTTGTGCACACTGACTTATGAAGGTCGGTGCTCCCTGTGACTGTGTGTGCAACCTTGTTCTGCCATCTGTTGGCGTGTTACAAAACTAGTCTTGAAACTTCTCGATACCACCATGTATATATATTATCTATCTATCTATCTATCTATCTATCTATCTATCTATCTATCTATCTATCTATGTATATAGTTTATTTATTTCTTTTAAAGTATTTTAGTTTTTTATAGTATTCAGTTCAGACATGTATGGCACTCATAATGGTTCCCTTTAGTCATTTACGATTGCAATTGCAAAGCCATTAATTAGGTATATTATAAGGCCAGCACAGTTTTGCTCTCATACTCCCAGATGACATGGTGGGCTGTCCCCTGTGAACGGTCTGCTAATGCGCAGCATATGCATTTTATGTGACCTTCTTAGTAAACACCATAACATCAGTATTAGTCACAGGAGCCCATTCTGTGTCCTCTGTGAGACTCAGCTAAGTGCTGAGAAGTTGGGCAGCAACACTCTTGCTGTTTTAACACTTCACTGCCCAATGTTTTTCCTGGCAAGAAAACTTAGAAAATAGCTAACAGCTGTGAGGGTACGCAGATACTTGCAGTTGCTCAAGAGCTGGAGTGTCCTTGTCTCTGTCTTCGACTTGGTGGCCAATGTGATCATTCTGCCAACACTGAGGACTAAGGAGAATAAATAAGGGGAAATAACCACTGACCGGTGATCAGAATAGAAGTAAATTAGTATGCAGAAGACACTAGACATCTAGGTCATAGTTACCAAGTCTACATTGTATTAGCTTTAAGTAGTTTTGGGAAAAGGTAACATTCTTCTTAGATTATTCTTTGTGTCTGTGACCCGCATTGTAGAGATTTTCTCTCACTTCCTGTGCTATGAGCCTATGATACTAGGCAAATAAAATGGGTGGAGTGGTTGTCACTGGGACATGAAAGCATGGCCAGCAATAAAATATTGTAATCATAACTCACTCTCTAAAAAAAGTGCTAATTTTTTTTGTGTCCATGTTGGAGATTCTTCTCATCGCTTACTGTCCTGTGAAAAAATAAGGATTAAAGAGGGCGATATAAAACATAATCAATACTTTAAGCTTTCCCTGCTCTATCCACAAAAAAATATTAAAAAATTAGAAATATTTAGTAGAGTTGGGCTTTAAAGTTGAGCTTCAGTAAAACAAATAAATCCACACTTGATGTACAAATATGAGAACTTATCTGTCTGCCTTAACTGTTCTGCTTTAACTGTTAACAATGTTTTAATTCTGTTTAGCCAACATCATGATGCAGAGACCTCTGCTAGACAACATAGACAAGTCCTTGACATTTTTTTAAATTTCGGATAGAGCGGTGAAAAGTTTAGAATCTCTCAGCTACCAAACCAACTTGTTGATAAGACCTGTGTCTCTGCTCCACAACACGCCAGCATGCTGTAAAAACTGCTAATTGAATTGGTTTTTAACCCTTTCAAAGTCTAACCATTCTCCAAAAAAAACAGCCCTGAAGAAGGGGTAGGCAATTTCCCTGAAATGTGTTTGATCTACTTGTAATATTTTATCTTCAATAAATGATTATAATTAATCATCAAGAAAGGCAGCAGCACTTGTCAAACTTAGCCATTGAAGTCAATGGAACTGGGATTTGACAAAAGAAAAAAAAATCCCCCAAAAAAGGCATTTAGAAGGTGACATTATCTCTTCTGCTGCAGGTTGCTTTTCAGAGGAACAGCAGGGACTGACACCCATGTCGAAAGTCCTAAAAGCCACTTAAAATGTGGATATGCCACTTACGGTTCTCAACACCAGCAGCGCAAATTTTTTAAAAATGCTATTTCTATACACCTTTAGCTTGCTACACAACTCATTTGGCTATATATTTATGTATTTGTTTTTTTATTTTATTGTAAGTACTTATATAGTGCAGTCAATTATATTGGTAAAATTCCCATTTAGCTGAATGTACACAAGTATGCTGAGGCTTGTAGTTCTTTTAGTAGTTGCACATGTTTCTCCTGACTGCCTGGGCACCTGACACAATATTATGTGCCAGGATGGTGGACTGAACAGGGAATTTACTTAGATGAGTATAGGAATTCAGTAGAATTGGGAAGAAAACACCTTTCATGTGAACCGTGGGCTGGATCCATGACTCTGAAAGAGCAGCAATTTCTGGGGAATTTGGTTGGCGCAGGAACTGAAAAACCTAATTGATCAAGCAGAGTAGTTACCATCAGACTAATGGTAGGAGCACTTAATGCCCTGTGCTCTTCTCCAGCCGTTCCTTAGATCTCAGCACTGTTTATTAACACAGTTTTATCATTAAGAAAATACAGCAATTTTTCCAGCCCCCAGTGCAGGGTACAGCTGAGAGATCAATGCCCTGCCTGTGTCTAGGCAGCAGTTTGGGCTTGGACGTCAAGGATAATTCCTTTATACAACTTAATGGAGTCCGCTTGACATCCATAATGATCCCCAATCATAAGAATTATTTGTGCTAGCACGCAGACATGTTCCAGTTGTTGTGACAGATCACATTTCACCTTTAATGATGGAAAATTACCATTTCTAATTCCTTGGGTTTTGACACCTAAATCCACACGCCATATGTTGATGAAATATAAATTTGTTAGGCTGAAATGCAATGTCACCCATCCACTCTGATTAATCAGCACGGTGACACTACATGATCTTTTCATGGAATCAGTATTATAACCTGCTCACTAGATCATTAGAACCTACTTGTCGTTGCACAGATGACCTTCCCTTTCTGGTACCTTCAGTCTGAACACTGACAAGATGAAGGGACTAATTTATGAACGCTAAACTAAATGTGGAGATGTTCCACCTAGCGACTGATCAGACTACTGGGCCATCTTTTAAAAGTTGGATTAACTGCTTTATAGCTCTGTTTTTTTTTTTCCAGTTGCCTGTAATCTAAAACCTGTAGTACCTAGCACCAACAAAAGTTTTAGGTCCTAATGGAAAATAAAATTGATTGCAAGCATCTATATTTTCTTCTGTACAGGCCTCTCAAAATCACCAATCCCATGACCGTCATCACACCACCAAATGGCTTCAATGAGAAACTAATGTAAATAAGGTGACAGGAGTGCTGAGTATTTGATACCACTGTTGCACTTGGAAAGGGGGCCCAAATGGAACAATTTATAATGTACACAAAAAGCAAAATTTAAATCCAGAAATTTGGAGGTGTTATAAATAAGCAAGGGCAATGAATAACGAAGCCTGGCCATACACAGAGATGCTATAATGAACAATTTAGATTTGTAGATTCATCCAACCCTTAGAAGAGCCTTATATCACTAGATACAATTATCTACTATTCTGTAAAATTTGGGCATTTATAATTACAATTCCTGAGACTATAAGAGATCAGAAGAACATACAGAAGTGGGAATTTTTAGTAAAGCTGAACCTTTTGAAACCTAGGTATAGTAAATGAGTAAAGGATGGTGTCACAAGGGGCAACACGGGGTGGTTCAAGATGTTGGATAGGCTAATACTGCAAAGGGTCCCACTGGGTGGTTCAAGATAACCAAAAGGCTGACATTACAAAGGGTCGCACAGTATGGTTCTAGATGACAGGCAGCAATTACAAGTGGTCACAGCGGATGGTTCTAGATTTCAATGAGGGTATCATTACACGGGGTCACATGGGCAGTACTAGGTAGTAGTTAGGCTGGCATTGCAAGAGGTTGCACAGGGTGGATTTAAATAAGGGTTAGACTGGCTTTACAAGGAGTTACAGAAGAACTTATAGTCTAGATAATGGTTAGGTTTGCATTAAAATGGATCACATAGGGTGGTTTAGATAATAGCTAGTTTGGCAATAGTTGGGGTCAAATGGGGTGTGCTGGTTTGCTCTTAATTGTTGGATTGAGCAATTAAAAACCTTGCAGGAGTTGTAACCCTGCCATACTCAAGTTACCTTTACATAATTTATCTCAATTTAAGGTGTTACTAAACCCATTTCATAAAAAATTATCAATAAATACTACAGTGCCTTGAAAAAGTATTCATACTGCTGGAAATTTTCCACAGTTTGTCATGTTACAACCAAAAACGTAAATGTATTTTACTGAGGATTTTATGTGATAGACCAACACAAAGTGGCACATAATTGTAAAGTGGAAGGAAAATAATAAATAGTTTTCAAATTTGTTCACAAATAAATATGTGAAAAGTGTGGTATGCATTTGTATTCAGCCCCCCTGGAGTCAATACTTTG